CAAACATAACCTTGAATGTGTAAATGATTCTTTAAAGTAAATAGGAGTATCGATTGCCAAACCAATGGAGGGGAGTGTATGCCATTCAAACATAACCTTGAATGTGTAAATGATTCTTTAAAGTAAATAGGAGTATCGATTGCCGAACTAATGGAGGGTAGTGTATGCCATTCAAACATAACCTTGAATGTGTAAATGATTCTTTAAAGTAAATAGGAGTACCAACTGCCAAACTAATGGAGGGGAGTGTATGCCATTCAAACATAACCTTGAATGTGTAAATGATTCTTCAAAGTAAGTAGGAGTATCGCTTGCCAAACTAATGTAGGGGAGTGTGTGCCATTCAAACATAACCTTGAATGTGTAAATGGTTCTTTCAAGTAAGTAGGAGTATCGCTTGCCAAACTAATGTAGGGGAGTGTATGCCATTCAAACATAACCTTGGATGTGTAAATGATTCTTTAAAGTAAATAGGAGTATTGATTGCCAAACTAATCTAGGGGAGTGTATGCCATTCAAACATAACCTTGAATGTGTAAATGATTCTTTAAAGTAAAAATAGGAGTATCGATTGCCAAACTAATGGAGGGGAGTGTATGCCATTTAAACAAACCTTGAATGTGTAAATGATTGTTTAAAGTAAATAGGAGTATCGATTGCCGAACTAATAGAGGGGAGTGTATCCATTCAAACATAACCTTAAATGTGTAAATGATTGTTTAAAGTAAATAGGAGTATCGATTGCCGAACTAATGGAGGGGAGTGTATCCATTCAAACATAACCTTGAATGTGTAAATGATTCTTTAAAGAAAATAGGAGTATCGATTGCCTAACTAATGGAGGGGAGTGTATGCCATTCAAACAACCTTGAATGTGTTATTGATTCTTTAAAGTAAATAGGATTATCGATTGCCGAACTAATGGAGGAGAGTGTATGCCATTCAAACAACCTTGAATGTGTAAATGATTCTTTAAAGTAAATAGGAGTATCGATTGCCTAACTAATGGAGGAGAGTGTGTGCAATTCAAACATAACCTTGAATGTGTAAATGATTCTTTAAAGTAAATAGGAGTATCGATTGCCGAACTAATGGAGGGGAGTGTATCCATTCAAACATAACCTTGAATGTGTAAACGATTCTTTAAAGTAAATAGGAGTATCCATTGCCGAACTAATGTAGGGGAGTGTATGCCATTCAAACATAACCTTGAATGTGTAAATGATTCTTTAAAGTAAATAGGAGTATCGATTGCCGAACTAATGGAGGAGAGTGTGTGCAATTCAAACATAACCTTGAATGTGTAAATGATTCTTTAAAGTAAATAGGAGTATTGATTGCCAAACTAATGGAGGGTAGTGTATGCCATTCAAACATAACCTTGAATGTGTAAATGATTCTTTAAAGTAAATAGGAGTACCAACTGCCAAACTAATGGAGGGGAGTGTATGCCATTCAAACATAACCTTGAATGTGTAAATGATTCTTCAAAGTAAGTAGGAGTATCGCTTGCCAAACTAATGTAGGGGAGTGTATGCCATTCAAACATAACCTTGAATGTGTAAATGGTTCTTTCAAGTAAGTAGGAGTATCGCTTGCCAAACTAATGTAGGGGAGTGTATGCCATTCAAACATAACCTTGGATGTGTAAATGATTCTTTAAAGTAAATAGGAGTATTGATTGCCAAACTAATCTAGGGGAGTGTATGCCATTCAAACATAACCTTGAATGTGTAAATGATTCTTTAAAGTAAAAATAGGAGTATCGATTGCCAAACTAATGGAGGGGAGTGTATGCCATTTAAACAAACCTTGAATGTGTAAATGATTGTTTAAAGTAAATAGGAGTATCGATTGCCGAACTAATAGAGGGGAGTGTATCCATTCAAACATAACCTTAAATGTGTAAATGATTGTTTAAAGTAAATAGGAGTATCGATTGCCGAACTAATGGAGGGGAGTGTATCCATTCAAACATAACCTTGAATGTGTAAATGATTCTTTAAAGAAAATAGGAGTATCGATTGCCTAACTAATGGAGGGGAGTGTATGCCATTCAAACAACCTTGAATGTGTTATTGATTCTTTAAAGTAAATAGGAGTATCGATTGCCGAACTAATGGAGGAGAGTGTATGCCATTCAAACAACCTTGAATGTGTAAATGATTCTTTAAAGTAAATAGGAGTATCGATTGCCTAACTAATGGAGGAGAGTGTGTGCAATTCAAACATAACCTTGAATGTGTAAATGATTCTTTAAAGTAAATAGGAGTATCGATTGCCGAACTAATGGAGGGGAGTGTATCCATTCAAACATAACCTTGAATGTGTAAACGATTCTTTAAAGTAAATAGGAGTATCCATTGCCGAACTAATGTAGGGGAGTGTATGCCATTCAAACATAACCTTGAATGTGTAAATGATTCTTTAAAGTAAATAGGAGTATCGATTGCCGAACTAATGGAGGAGAGTGTGTGCAATTCAAACATAACCTTGAATGTGTAAATGTTTCTTTAAAGTAAATAGGAGTATCGATTGCCAAACTAATGGAGGGGAGTGTATCCATTCAAACATAACCTTGAATGTGTAAATGTTTCTTTAAAGTAAATAAGAGTATCGATTGCCGAACTAATGGAGGGGAGTATATGCCATTCAAACATAACCTTGAATGTGTAAATGATTCTTCAAAGTAAGTAGGAGTATCGCTTGCCAAACTAACGGAAGGGAGTGTATGCCATTCAAACATAACCTTGAATGCGTAATTGATTCTTTAAAGTAAATAGGAGTATCGATTGCCAAACTAATGGAGGGGAGTGTATGCCATTTAAACATAACCTTGAATGTGTAAATGATTCTTTAAAGTAAATAGGAGTATCGATTGCCAAACTAATGGAAGGGAGTGTATGCCATTCAAACATAACCTTGAATGTGTAAATGATTCTTTAAAGTAAATAGGAGGATCGATTGCCGAACTAATGGAGGGGAGTGTATGTCATTCAAACATAACCTTGAATGCGTAATTGATTCTTTAAAGTAAATAGGAGTATCGATTGCCAAACTAATGGAGGGGAGTGTATGCAATTCAAACATAACCTTGAATGTGTAAATGATTCTTTAAAGTAAATAGGAGTATCGATTGCCAAACTAATTGAGGAGAGTGTATGCCATTCAAACATAACCTTGAATGTGTAAATGATTCTTTAAAGTAAATAGTAGTATCGATTGCCAAACTAATGTAGGGGAGTGTATGCCATTCAAACATAACCTTGAATGAGTAAATGACTCTTTAAAGTTAATAGGTGTATCAACGTGTGATTCTACATGCCACTTGCCGACTATGAACATCTTAAAGATAAAATAACAATACTCTAGATGAATGTCACACTGATCTTTTTACGGTGTATATTGCATATGTATTCACAGCAGAATATAACACACGCAGATTTAGAATGGGTATGTAGATGTATTAGTAATGTTACTACTATTTTCAATATTCCGTTGATTTTACAGAATTGAGCAGATAGGGAGAATTTTTTATTAGAAGGAACCAGATTAACAGGTATCATCAGTACCACATTGAGATATGATGAACATGGAACGTGTAAATATAAACAATATCGAACGCACAAAGTACGTTTAACGAGCGCCCCTTGTGTAGTAAAGCACTGCTTTATACACATCACGTATGTATTACCATACAAGGGGCGTTCTAAAAGTAAGATGGCACATTTCGGTTCTAGATCTCACTTGTGCAATATGTGTAATATGTTATAAAGTACAAATACTATACAAGGGCCATTCTAAAAGTAATGTGACACATGGCTGCTCTAAAGTCGTTTTTGCATTGTGTTTTAAAGGAGAGTACTCATACACAGATGGGGAGCTCCGAGTGACCCCCCAGATGAAGGAAGATTTCAACGACAATGGCTACATCCTCGTACGGTAAATGCAATGTTTATCACACGCCTCACTTTTTTGATTTTTTGCTCTCAAGGTAGTTCCGCACAAAAAATCGTTGTTTTTAAATTGAAGAAATGTTATTTCAACATACATTTGAAACAAATATATATTTTGATTTTGAGTAATGTATTTCCTCATATCGTGTAGATATTTACATACAATAAAATGAATTTTGAAAAATATTACCCATTTCATTAATGATTTGTAATTGTAACATGAAATTTTCATGAAAACCTCCTCATATATCTACCTTAAGAGTAAATTGCAATTTGTTTTTCTCTTGTTTTTCCAAGTGGGGTCCTTACGCCCGAAGAGTTAAAAGTTGTTCGCACATCCATAGAACATCCCGATGGAGTCACCAAATACGCAGTAGAGGTACCATGGTTGAGTTTTAAAAGGGAAACAACAAATTATGTTGGTGCATTGAAAAATAATACTTACACCAAAAAATAAGCTTAGAGCAAACTGGTACATGTAGTATACAATGCGGTTCCGTTGACTGTCGTGCACGTCATTCAAAATGTATCTAATGTTGACCCAAGTGGTTTTTCATTCATAAAAAGGCATCATTGGCACGACGATACAAAAATTTTGATATATTAAATTTGTACCTTTTAAAGTTGAGGAAATTTGCATTGGGCTCACATCTTCCAGTTTTCTGATGGTGATGGTAAATTCAGTAAAATGTCACTTTGGAATCATCCCGGAAATGACGTCACTGGTGTCGTTGGAAAATGTCAAAAGGTGGCGGGTGTGATGGCAGAGGTAAACTAATTTGTTGAGTAGTCAATATGTTGTATAATTAGCAATTTTGTTTGTCCGTGGCTGTGTTTTTGTTACACGCTGTCCATAAAGAATATGAGAAGAGCAATTCGCGATAGAATAAAACATGGTCATTATTATAAATATCTCCCACAATGCATCGCGTCAAGGGCCAATTCTTTGTTGGTCCATCGATCGGATATAGAGCAAGAAAGTTGAAAGAATTAGAGTTATTCAAATTTCTAAAGTTTCATGTAAGTGATCGTATTAATGTTTTCAGCTTCTTGGAGGGGAGGTTTACCACTACCATACAAAGTTGATGATGAAAGAGCCTCACACAGGTGGCAAATGGAACTGGCATCAGGATTATGGGTATTATAGTGTTTGTTTTCATACACCTAGTTTCTAGGTTCTGCCAAATCCGTGCCAAATTAAGCGATACACTGGTGATAGAGGTTTTAAAATTGATGTTTAAAAATATTTTTGGCAATGTTCTCTAGAGCCCCAGTAGGTATCTTCTATGCATGGCCGGTTCGAGAGGGTTTAACTGTCAGAAAATATGTGTTGTTCCCTCGGTCCCTACCCTCGAGATAAACCCTGTATTCAAAACTTATGTTTTTAAGGGCTTCGACGCATATCAAAATAGTATTTTATCAGCCTGTTCTATTCTATACCAGCCAAAATTAATGTTAGTTTGTCCAGTATACACGTGGGTGTGTATGATGTATTCAGTATTTTGTGATGTCGAACGTGCATTTCTTCTATCTCCAGGTACTGGTACCAGAATGGCTGTTTATTTCCGGACATGGCCACCGTTTTCATAGCCATTGACCCAAGTACAAAGTCAAATGGGTGCTTAAACGTCATCAAGGGCTCTCACAAGTGTGGCCGTGTCGAACATAAAAAGGTTGCAGGTCAAACTGGTGCAGACGTTGAACGTGTTAATCAAATCATGAAATTTCCAGGAATGGAATTAACAGAGGTTGAAATGCAGCCAGGTAAATATAACTGTCTAATATTAAAAGATTAATAGATATTAGTGTATATGACAATCGTTGAGCTTGGCGATGGTCGACAAAGATGTGGACGCTCTTCATGATGAACGCTGACCTACTTTCACCAAGTAGGCTACAACTATAAAATTATGAATTGAGAATTTTGGCTATACAGGATTGCTTGTAGTTTTTATATTAATATACAGGGTGTCCCAAAAATTGTACAAATTGTTCAAACAAGGAATGGAATAACTCTGTGAGTGACGAAGAAATATTCTTGAAAGGATGAAAATGAAATCTCTATATCATGTTCAACATTTCTCTGTTAAAGTTCAACTTTTCTCTTTGAAGCGTTTTTCTATAAACTTCAACTTATGTTTATAAACTTCAACTTAACATATTTTCATTGAGGTACATTTTCTTGGAATTCCCGATACTTTACTCAAAGTGAAACAAATGTTTTTGATCCCAACATAGGTGATGCACTGTACTTTCATTCCAATCTTCTCCACACGAGCTCCCAAAACCTGAGCCCAAACCGACGTTGGGCGTTTCTTTGTGCTTACAACAGACGCAGTAACGACCCAGTTATAGTTCACCATCATCCGCAATATACGCCATTAGAGATAGTCGACAACAGCGCCATCTTAAGTTGCACTAACAATGTGGATATGGAGGGAAAAGACTTTTACCCTCCCGAGAAGGGGATACGATGGCAGGTGCTTGAAAAGGTAGGTCCTGGTAACTGAGAGGTTTAATTAAGTAACACGTTTTTGTACGTGAGCGTGTAAATTATGACACCCTGTCGATTAGTTGTCCCCTTCGTAGTATTTACTTGCCAAATTGGTTTAAAGGTAAAAGCAAAATTTGTTGAAAATAGATTCACGAAAACAACAACTGAGAGGCAGGAAGTAGATATATACACACAGTATAGAGTTTGACAAAATTGCAAGCAACATGTCAAATCGACTACCAATGTATTCCATGTAATCTCAAACATGATACATCCAACAAGATACGCGCGTATGTCATCAATTGCTAGTGAAGAAGATTCAAAGTGCAAAAATATCTACAATATTTGAATCGAGTAAAATGGTTTGAGTACAACTTTAAATTCTCCCAAATATTAATTCAATGTGTTGACCAACATAGAGAAATGAATACATTATAAATATCGACGTGAAGCAAAATATTTAAGAATTATGCCAATTTTTTTAAACACATTCTCAACTCGTCTTCATTCTTATATTTTCAGCAAAACGAAATAAAGGATGCGCAATAGACTCAGATCCAGGGACAGACCAATCAGAGTGGAGTATTTGATATAAGCATGCGCAATCAACACAAGTTCCACGTGACACTAGTATAAAAACAATGGATTGACGAACATCCTGATTTCAGTTGCTAACTCTTATATATAGCCATCTTGGCCAAAACAACAATCAAAAGTCAAAAGAACAACTTCTATTTGCCCCCGGGTTTCTTTACCATTAAAAATGTATATGTGCCTGAAGAGGAAAAAAATTAAAACAATTTTGGTCACATGAGGTTCATGGGTTAGATCATTAACCGCTTATTGTTTCATTCTTTTAAGGTCAGGGTGCACTTTGGAATTTTTTTGCAATTTTGAAAAATAAACCACTGAATACTCTAGTTATTCAAACATTCTGAAGAATTATAAACCCTCAATTAATAGTCTAGGTACACTCATGCACCTTTTGTGCAAGAATGAAAGATGAAGATTGTGTGTGGAATGAGTTATGTTTATCTGAAAATAGCACATGGTCATGAAATTCATCAAAATGCAAACTGACCTTAAGAGACGATGAAACAAAGGATCCGTAAGACCAAGACTCAATGACTTGTATGATGACTTAAACAACGAATGTCTTGTTTCCAGACTCCGAATGCGAGAACACGAGTTCAAAGGCTTAAGCCAAAGTCATATGGTATAATACCTTGTTTCTTTAAATGGTAGATCATAGTTTGGGTAATTTGGGGTTTGCTTACCCCTCGACTTGTCTTTGTTCATGCTTCATTTTCTTGCTCCGTTTTTTCAATACCTTTTGGTATTTCCCAGTTGGAACTGTTGATGAAACTGTCAAAATGTCTCAGATAATGTTCAAAAACAATTTTGCGCTTTTCAAAATGGATACATCATACCTTTCGCCAGTTTTACTATAAAAATAGAGATGAAATAAAAATTAAAATGGATTTTTAAGCATATAAACTATGCATTGAACGCAATATGTCTGTCTGTTGCTTGTTGCTTTCAAATACTTAGTAAACTTTAATACTTAAGTGAACTTTAGTACACCTTAAGCAATATACCGGGTCTCCCAAAAATGAGACACTTTTTGACAAATATTTTCCCGGCAACTGATGAACCAAATTCACTAATCATTTGTACAAAGTAGCACAATAATGTTATAAGTACTCACGTGACATTTACCTGATCTTTTTCAGACCTTTGTAGTTTGCTAATGATACTCTTGGGCTACTTTGTATGCATTTTCAGAATAGTGTATACACTATGTTTTATTAAATATGAAACAGTCACTAAATTATGTAATCTTTATTTCAAGACCAAACGATGCGTCTTTTTCTTCACGACTCTGATGCGTTCACTGTAACCATTATGCTTCCCCATCGTTTCCAGTAACCTGTAAGAAATACACATCCGTGCTGTCATATTGTCCTCTCCTGATCGCTTCCTTAACCCAGTACATTTACCGTAACGGTTATTTGAATGCAATCTTATATGCAATAAACAGAGTTAAAATACAAACACGGTCGTTAGAGTAGCTTGATAGCATTTAAAGTACACGCACGCATCTCACACACTGTTCACTAGGCGGCCAATTAATCCTTGAGCATCGGGAAATCAAATCAAATCTAAGACAATGAATTCCTGTAATTCACGGGGCATTTGTTTTATTCTGACACTAGTTATCAGCTTGGATTTGTTTTGTGCTGAATCTGATACAGTCACCAACACACCTTGTGATTGTAAACTACTGTCAGATAATGATGACCGACTTTCCACCTCAGTCGACCAACTCGAAGAGAAAATGGGTCAACTGCAAAATAAACTAAATGAACAAGCTGAAGAAATAACAGCCTTACAAAAGCTTGTCATCAAATCTCAAGCCGATATTCATAGCTTGGAGGAGACATGTACTAAAAATTGTGAAGGAAAAGTTGGACCACCGGGAAAACGTGGAGTGCGAGGATACAGGGGACAAAGAGGACCAAAGGGACCAACCGGTGCTCAAGGGTTTAATGGTAGTCGAGGGGAAGCTGGTCCAGCCGGTCTTAAAGGAAGTCAAGGATTGCCTGGTCCGGCTGGAGAAAAGGGAGAAATTGGTTCCCCTGGAATAAATGGATCGATAGGGAGACCAGGTGAAAAGGGAGAAATTGGTCCCCCAGGAGTAAACGGATCGAACGGCAGACCAGGTGAAAAAGGAGCAATTGGAAGACCAGGTGAAAATGGAGAAATTGGTCCACCTGGAGTGAATGGATCGATTGGCAGACCTGGTGAAAAGGGAGCAATTGGTTCCTCTGGAGTAAATGGATCAAATGGGAATCCAGGTGAAAAGGGTTCAATTGGCCCACCGGGAATAAATGGATCGATCGGCAGACCAGGTGAAAAGGGTGCAATTGGCCCACCGGGAATAAATGGATCGATCGGCAGACCAGGTGAAAAGGGTGCAATTGGCCCACCGGGAGTAAGTGGATCAAACGGCAGACCAGGGGGAAATGGTGCAATTGGCCCACCAGGAGTAAATGGATCGAACGGCAGACCAGGTGAAAAGGGTGCAATTGGCCCAACGGGAGTAGATGGATCGAACGGCAGACCAGGTGAAAAGGGTGCAATTGGTCCACCGGGAGTAAGTGGATCAAACGGCAGACCAGGGGAAAAGGGTGCAATTGGCCCACCGGGAGTAAATGGATCGAACGGCAGACAAGGTGAAAAGGGTGCAATTGGCCCACCGGGAGTAAGTGGATCAAACGGCAGACCAGGGGAAAAGGGTGCAATTGGCCCACCGGGAGTAAATGGATCGAACGGCAGACCAGGTGAAAAAGGTGCAATTGGCCCACCGGGAGTAAGTGGATCAAACGGCAGACCGGGTGATAAGGGTGCAATTGGCCCACCGGGAGTGAGTGGATCAAACGGCAGACCAGGTGAAAAGGGTGCAATTGGCCCATCGGGAGTAAGTGGATCAAACGGCAGACCAGGTGAAAAGGGTGCAATTGGTCCCCCAGGAGTAAACGGAGACATTGGTCCACCTGGAGTAAAAGGACAACCGGGTGAAAGGGGAGCAATTGGCCTAACAGGACCAAAGGGTCAAAAAGGAGATGATGGTTCAAGCGGTTTGTATAATCTCTAGATTCCCCATCTATTACTGTACACTTTACTACTAGAAAAGATGATATGGCCATTTAAGTAATTATTGATTTATTTTGATCATAATCAGGTCAATCGATGTAAGTACATGAAAGTTATTGAGTGTGTAAGCAAGTGTTTATTTTTTATTTCAATTCTAATTTTGATAAATAACTATTTTGTTTCAAAGAATTCTGCCCATGGGATATATTGTAAATCTTTAGAAATGTATAGCATCACGTAAACATATTACTTGAAAATGTTTAGACCATCGGGAGAGTTTGAGATTTTCTTTAAAAAAATTCGCAACTGACAAATCTTTTTTTAAATTATATTTTTTGAACACTTTCTTGCTATCAACAGGTAAAATAATTTTAACAATGAATATCATTTGATTGTTTAAACAACAAAATTTGGCCGTCTTTCCTATCTTTTAGATAAATTTCGTCTCGTTCCAATATAGAATTTTTCGAGCAGAATATATCCTGTATTGCACTTCAAATCATTCAATAACTTATAATACTGTGTAGAGATTTCTTTTAAAATATTCTTAAATCATTTTTGAAAATCGAACCTGCTTTGCTTTAAAAACGGAATGAGTAAAGCCACGTCAGTATTAAAGGTTTCAATTAGAAAAAATAATGGTGAATTCATTGTATCGCATATTCACTTGTGGAATATACCATACTCACCTGCGGTTTATGGCATATTTAGTATGGCAGTAAGGTTAGTATGGCATATTCTCCCGTATCGCAAATACCATAAATATATAGCATTTTCAATTCAATTCAATTATACCTTAATATTATAGTTAATTACACAAGGTACATATAAAATAATCAATGGGTGACCGCGTAACTGTAACAACATTTCTTTGTGTATGTCTAGAAAACTGACGAAAACACCCAATTTTCCAAAAGCGGGATGTTTTTTCTTAGTAATTCTAAAGTGTTTTGATTTGTGAGATTTATATTTATGGTTTCTTAAATAGCTCGTTACGCCCTCTAGACTACAACATTGCCGAGGTCCTGGATTCCCCAGTTACGACACAATGGCTTTACAAACTCTTTTTAAAATATGATATGCAGCTATGTTTTGAAATAATAAATCAATTGCTAACTCAACATACTTGAAAGCATTTGTAACAAATTGTGAAATTTATAAAAACGTTTGAATTCCATTTGCACATATGATATTGCTTAGTACTCGTAGCACTATAAAAATCGTATATTTTCGGAATTTGTTTGTAACATGTTTTTGGCATCTAGCCAAGGTAGTTGAGTCTGAACTCCCACCGATATAGAAATTAGCATTTAAATTATTTTACATGTGACATCATTGGTTCAGTTTAGCACATATATTGAACTACAGATAAATTACAGTAAATGACACATCTTGAACTATAAAAATGTATTTGAATTATTTTTAATGGTCTCTAAATGTTGTAGTGTAACTCTCTCTCTCCTCATATCTCTAACTGTGGTAGCGTGTCTCTTTTTTCTCTCTGTTTCTACTACTTCTACTTCTGATCTTTCAGCTCGCTCTTCTCTCTACCTTTCCATGACGAATTCTCCAACTCTGGAATGCCTCTCCCCAGCGCCAGGAGGATTCTTCAACTCCGGGATACGTTTCCACTCCGGCTATCGTCTCTCCGGTTCTCTTTCCAGGAAAACTGTCTCCACATTCTTCTCTATGTCTCTATGAGGACTGTCTCCACTCCATGATGTCTCTGCCACTCTCGGGGAAACTCTGCCTCAGAATATCTCCTCAATTCCCGGCTCTCTCAGCTCCACACTAAGAGGTCTCTGCCACTCTTGGGGAAACTCTGCCTCAGAAGATCTCCTCAATTCCCAGCTCTCTCAGCTCCACACTGGAGTGTGTACTGAACGGGATGATCAAGATCGCCTGATACTACGGGAGGTTTCCTCAAGTTATGGTTAAGTTTTAACCCGAGATTGCTCCTTTGATTAAGATTCCGCGGAGTTCACACACAAGGAACATCACCACTTCCGGTAATGACGGGATTAACCAAACGCCAGATGTTCACACTTTTTCCGAAATCCCCACAATATTTTTCAGTAATTTCTTATCACCTAATTGAAATTGTAAGAACCGGGGTCACACTCGCCTAGCCGTGACGTAATAAAAATACAAGGTGTTAAAAATACTATGGTATCGTATGTCCTAGACTAGGAAGTGTGTTGGTTGTTATGAATTTTAATCTTACTGATTATCAAATTGTCCTACACCATACATGATAGCACAAAAGAATATGATTTGATTATATATATATTATGTAACTGTATTATAACTACTAAAATAATATGAAATATGTACAATGATGAATATTTACAATAAGGTCTACAGAATTGTATCAGACATGTTGTCTCAAATAAGATACTGTAATAACTTCAAAAACAGTTGTCAATCTTATTAACGATGCACCAACTTGACCTTATATATATGCAAACACTCTCTACATGTGAATGCCTTACAAATAGCAACAACAGAATACTCTGCCACCTATCTTCAAATATCTAGTTAAAAGTACATGTACATCTTTCCTTACACAAACAAGACACTACCTTGAATAACAATTATGCAGTTTTCAATCTCACTATACTTATTCTCTGGGCCTACATATATCTGCTACATGTACTAACTGACCTTACAAAATCATAACAATCTGGTATGCCATCTATCTTCAACTATGTTCAAATCAGGCTCAAAAGTAACAATGCCTGTTGCACTTCAAATACAAATCATAACCCATATATTTCACAGGTTATTAAATTGAGATGCTATACAGATCCTAAAATAATGCTCAAAAAGTGGTGTTTACATGTCACAGAAACAGAAATTGAAGTGACAGATTGATCTTTAAAATCTATCTAGCGAGAAAATCACATGTTAAACTAAGCTGCTGAAACTGAAAATATCCTTCACATCAAGATACTCTTACCTAAACATAACATTCTTGCTACCTTCATGTAGATATATATCCTAAAATAGCTATCCTAACTGGACTTTTAGTCCACCATTTTAGACAATTTAGCCGCACAAATATTCAACCTAATCCTCCATGTTGTTCATGATAGCCTCTGCTGACCAAACCCCTAAATTCCGGTATTCTAATTGGCTACTAAAGCCCGGTATACACCAATGGGGCAAAATCCCACTTGCCCCATCGAGTCCCAATTTGCCCCATCGAATCCCACGAAGTCCCATGGGACCTTGATGACTTTGCCCCATCGTGCCCTATGGAGTCCCATCAAGCCCCATGGAGTCCCATCAAATCCCACCGTGCCCCATTGGTGTATGTTGGGCTTCACACAACACGTCATATGATCGAAAATCCCACGATACCCCATGGAAAGAATGAACATGTTCATTCTCGATGGGACCCCATGGGACTCCGTGGGATTTTGCCCCATCTTGCCCCATCGAGTCCCACCGAGTCCCACGTGGGACTTCATGGGACCTCATGGGACCTCGTGGGGCAAGATGGGGCAAAATCCCACGGAGTCCCATGGAGTCCCACGGACTTCATGGGGCAAAATCCCAAAAGGAGCTATAGGATCTGCAGGACCTTCAAACTATTCTGCAAACTATTCTTGCCACCAAATTCAAAAGTTGGAAAAGTTAAAGTGAACTTTATAAATCTTACAAAATAAACTAAAAAAAACTATTTGGAAAAACGTAATTTCGGGTTGAACATGGTACCCACCACTCTGGTTACCATAGCAACCATATCTCAAGAACCAATCAAAATTGAGGTCCCAAATTTTACCATATAATGTGTAAATATATATAACAGATATGTGTACCAAGTTTCATTGCAAAAGTCCTATTTTCCTTGAAGTTATGGCATCAACTGAAAAACTTTTTGAACCACCTAAGTATACCATTTAGTGTTAATGAGCAGAAGACTGATAGATGTTAATAAGGTACTTGCAAAAATATACTTAACGATACAATTAGACAAACAGAATATCTTATGCATTTCTAGGGGTTAGATATAGTAGAGTGTTGATTATTTCAATATTTCGGCAATACTATACCCATAAGATATATCCATAGTTTGTGAGATATTGTATAAGCAATAACAAAGGGACATCATTGATTGTCTGGCCGAGAAACCTATGGTATAATGCATCTTTCAGTGCGATATCTTGCCACCGGTCTAAATTTTTAACTTTTTGTGTTTACACTCTGATTGGTTTCAGAGACAACATTGCTAGACTGCAATTTTGCTAGTGATTTGTGTGGGTTCTTCCAATATTCAAACGACGACATTGATTGGGTAAGGAACACGGATGGCAAAACACCATCTATTGGAACTGGTCCCTTATATGGGGGTAATAGTGGAAGTGAGTATGAGTATTTCGATGAAGATGTTTAACTTGTTATAAGTAGATACATAGGGGACAATTCAATATTTTGCTAAAATATTATAATCAATATCTTGATCGAAATCGATTTTTGATTAACCTCTTGACTTCCATGTGTGACGAATTTCTCGTCATCTCAGAAATGACCTTGAAACCCAGATTGACGAGAAAATCTGTCTTAAAACTTTTCACTAAAATTGCTCTTATTTGAACAATTTTCATCAAATTTACCTAAAATTGTTTTTTGAAATGTGTAGAAATGATCTCTGCCATCTCATTGTACTAGGTTGAGCATCTAAAGTTGAATAGATAGAAAATCTCAAAAGGTTGCAAAAATGAAAAATTCTCTGGTTTCAACCGATTTTAGAGCCTGGGATTCAAGAGGTTAAACACAATTAAAACAACGATATATTGATCATAGAACAGTATTTTGGCCCAGAGGATATATTGAATCTATCTCTACATGCGTGTATGCAACATTGAAATAATGTTACATCAAAGTCATTTAAATATACCTGTAGATACGTTCGTCTATGTGGAAGCTTCGAATCCAGCTCCAGATAATGCCACGGCAGTGATAGAGACTCCGAAGTTTTATAGTAGCGGAACAAAAACTCTGCGCTTCCTTTACCATGCCATGGGTGAAAATATGGGAATCTTCACTGTTACAGCCCAGCCATCTGGCAGCCAAGTATTCATATTTCATGGTAAAGAAATGACGTGGTCTCTGTCTCGCCTGTTTAAATTCTTGGTTTCTTTACCCTTTGCATTCGTTTGACTTCACTTCTTAAAAGAGAGCTTCGTAGTTTAACTAGACTCTGCACGCAGGGTATGGTTTCTTGGTAATTAGATCCACAAATGATTTGTCTGTAGCCATTACACGTAATTTTTGAGACTATTTTGGACTCTTTGCCATCTTATTTTTATGAAAACGGCAATCAAAAGATTGATAATGTCTATCTCAAACAAATGTCTTTCTATTGACATCATCATGCCCTTTGGTGATAACATGTAAATTTAAATACTTCATGAATTTTCGTTTGATTCTATAAAGGTAAAGTAGACCAAAGTATCTCCGACTGGACTGAAGTAACAGAACAATTACCCAGCGGTACGACATCAGTATTATTTAAAGTGAAACTTTCGGCAGGTCTAAAACGTTACTCTTCAGACTTTGCGATTGATGATGTAAAGGTGACCAGTAACGATGATAGAGGCGGTGAAGATAAAGGTAAGAAAAAACAGATTTTAACTCTCACAATGATTCAAGGTTCAAAATGAGTCAAGAGACTGTCTGTTTTTTTGGTCTTGGTATTTTACAATTCATTGTAGAACAGTTTAAACTACCATTTTATCATCTAATGTACATAGAAGACTAAAGAGGCGATGTCACTGTTTAAATATGACTTGTTGTAATAATTTATCTATTATACAGGTTACAGCATTATACAGCTACCATCTGATACATTATGATGTCCTTTTTCTTATGATACCAAAGTTGTCTATTTTCCTTCACGGATGACTGAGTTATAAGGGATTTAAGTGACCATGTCAGAAATGAGTTTGTACCACTTTCAGCCAAGTCAATTTCATCATCATAACAAAGTGATAAGTAACAACAAACATCAGGATATCACTCATTTACTCATTTATTCCAATTAAAATTAAACATATCATATTTAACACCCCTTTTAAATCCCAATGTCCATTCAATATATTGATTCAATATGACCCCCATTCCTTTCAATGCAAATGTCTGCCCTTGATCTCATCGCACGTACTGCATCCCTGATGATGTCTCTCTGTCCCCTTAGATCCTCCACTGCTGCGACAATCCTGGCCCTTAGATCATCAACGTCTCTTGGTGGTGTTGTGAAGACTTTACCCTTGAGATAACCCCAAAGGAAGAAGTCGCAGGGTGTCAGGTCTGGGGATCTCAGTGGCCACTCAATCTCGTGGTTCAAGGCAATCACTCTTTCGTTGAACAGCGCCCTTAATCTGTCCCGAACGATAATCCGACAATGAGGAGGAGCACCGTCCTGGGCCCACCACAGTCTTCTGAATACACCACCCCATTGCTGTTGTGCTCCTGCAGCTCTGTTACAATTTCATCGTTGATCATTCTTAGGAAATCTTCTCCGTTTAGGTTGCCATTGAAGAAACATGGTCCGATGAGTGTCCCATTTCCACAAAGCCCGATCCAAAGGGAGATCTTCTCTCTACTCATGTTAACATCATAGTTGAAGGCTGGTGGTTCATGCAGTGGTGCATACTCTCTGACATTTTGGGTGTTGACTCTCCCATTCATAAAAAAGGAGGCTTCATCCCCGATGACCAAGTTATCCAAAAACAAGCAATTTTGAACGATCAGCCAACGGCAAAACTGAAGTCGTCTTGGTAGATCTGCATCAAGAAGTTGGTGATGCCTTTGAGGTTAATATGGGTACCATCTAATGTCTGTTCTGTTAAACGAAGTGTGTGGAATTCCTACACCATTTCTTCTGGTAGAGATGTGGGGGTTCCTTTCGAGCTGGTCTTGGACAATCCTGATGTGTTCATCAGACCGAGCTGTTCTTCTTCTTCCAGAACGTCCCTTGTTGAGATTGAGACTCGTTCCTTCTCTCTGATACTTCTTGATATTCTTCCAGATTGTCGACTTAGCAGGTACATTTCTATCTGGGAAGCGTACTCTAAACTGATCAGCAACCTGCTGAAGGCTCCCACTTACTATACTCTTTGATCTTGGGTCAGCTGTATGAACTTGCTATGTTGAATGCTTGTTCAGAAATGTGTATTTCGAATAGGACATGGTCTTGCATAGCCATTTTAATCCCTCATTGTTCAGCCATTCATGACAGAAAATTTGGCACAAACCAATTTCTGACATGGTCACTTAAATCTCTTAGAACTCAGTCGTCCGTGAAAAAATAAACGCCTTTGGTATCATAAGAAAAAGGACATCATAACCTATCAGGATGGTAGCTGTGAAATGTTCCTATTATTATTTATATTTGAGAAATAAGCAATCTATTGCTGGTTTTCTTTTTTTGTGACACACTGTATATAATGTAAATGACTTTTGTAAGCTAGCTTAAAACAAAATATTTCTATTAAGGGGAGAGGTGTACGATGTGAAGACTTATAAATTATATTACTTTAAAATCCAGTGATTCAGTGTGTTTAAGTACTCATTTGCATTATGTCAATTATCATCTGTAGAAAGAACATTGGTAAATTGCAACTTTGATGCTATAAACCTCTGTGGGTTCGTACAACGGCACGACGACCAAAGAGATTGGGAAAGGAGCGATAGTGGTACAACACCATCTTCTACGACAGGGCCTCAAAGTGGGGGTCACAGTGGTGGTGAGTATAACTGGGATTATTTGATAAGGTAACTGATCTTGTTTAACAATTTAGCAATGGAATTTGTTGTTTTTTGTCAAAGATCAATTACACATACGCAAATCGGATCAATAATTTTGTGATTTTTAAACTCCCGTTTTTGGACCCTAAGCCAACGTTCTCTGAATTATCCAAATTAAAATAATTCTGACGTCAAATTGGCAAAAAATAGAGGACAGACAGAGGGACATTCAAGAAACCTCATATTTGGCCAGGGTAAGTATTAAAAGATGGATTGCATCGAGTGGATTGGAGTCATGTAAAAGGTGGATTGGATCGGGAATCTTCAAAATATATATATATATTTTTTTCCATTGATATTCCTCTAAAATAACTTGAAAATATTGATTACTGGAATACTGAGAAATTATATTTTCAGTTTACTTTTAGATAATCAGCATCAGATGAATGCATCAGAACGAAGTTGATACACCCGAGTGACTCAATAATGTTACCATTTAGTTTTGGTATATTCTTTTCAATTATTACAATATTATGATTTCCTTTGTAGATAAAGTATGTACTTTGTGAAAAACTTGTATGAAATGGTGTATTTATTGTTTACTTTTGAATAAATCATGGATATTTTCGTATTAAAGTGATGCCTTGACAAACTTTCTTAATATCTCAGTTATTGATGCAATATATTCATGTATTTTACACTCTTTCACACAAGAAACATAAGAATGAATTTACTTATATGCACGATCTGTTCAGCATAATATTTAATTCAAGCTTTAAACTATGGAAATCCCATATTTTGCAGAATCCCAATTCAAACCACCTTTTACATGAGTCCAAACCACTCGATCCAATCCACATTTTAATCCTTACCTTGACCAGAGGTTTCATATTCAAGGCTGCGAGAAATATATTTAAACACATGAACAATATAACCAAAACACAAGTTTCTATGAATTGTATACTTGGCGGGTAATAGTATATGTCTACTAAAATATAACAGCTAAAACTTCATAGTCCATGGTATGACTCCGGAATATGAAGAATCTGTAACACAATATAGTGCAGCAACATTTGATCCAATATTTAAGGAGATCCGTATGTCTTGATTCTATTGAAATGCCGTTTGCTGAAAAAGTTTCTATGAATCGTATACTCGGCGGGTAATCTTTTACGTCTACTAAAATATAACAGCTAAAACTTCATAAAGTAGTCCATGGTATGACTCCGGAATATGAAGAATCCGTAACACAATATAGTGCAGCAACATTTGAACCAATATTTAAGGAGATCCATATGTCTTGATTCTATTAAAATGCCGTTTGCTGAAAAAAATTTGGGTCGAAATATTCCTCTCATTACAAGGGGTCTAAAACGTAAATACTTTCATTCGAATTTTTACGTATTTTATAAGACGCAAAACGTTGAAGTAAGCATATTTACAATAAATTGGAAATAAATAAATCATTGTGTCAAACCTAATTCTAATTTCTATGTAATTTCTAGTAGTAAATTGGTGTAATTGTATAAATGTACATTTTTCAAATATTGGTCAAGCAGATTGTGTAAATTATTTTCAAAAAATCATAATTTCAAATATATAAGTTTTATTATTTCAAAATTTTTTCAAAGAATTTATACCTATCATCGCCTGGAGTCATATGCAATCAAACGCCTTACATTTCTCTCACGACGTTACTGCTGCATATCATCAGATTTTCTGATGGTAATATATTCTTAGACATAACTGCTGGTTATCAGTAGATTTTTGGTGAAAATCAAAACCATTTTCATAAATTTGACCAGGTCTTGGTGGTTGTTTTATAGACAACTGAGTAATATCCAGCTGGGGGCAAAATAATTTTAGCCGAAGCCACAGTTAAACAATGAAGAACAATATGCCCCCTTTATTGATAGTTGACCCCTGACGGTTGCAGTCCATATCTCAAAACGCATTAAGACCCATTTTCGAAAAATTACAATAATTTTAGCATATTTCATTCTTATATAAAAACGATCATCGTTACCATTTACATCACCAGTATTGAAAAAAATATTCTAAATGTTGTTTTGCTGATTACGTAATTTTTTGTAAAGAAAAACAGCATCAAATTAACACATAATTCAGCCAAACAGCTCGAAGCATATTAAACTTATATAATAAGAAAACAATACTGGACATGTGTTGGTATGTAAATATCAGGTCAAATATCGCCGCACTATATTGCGTTACCAGCTCCTTAATCAGGCGTCCTGGGAATTTCATACCATGGTCTATACATGTAGATTACAATCTAATGATTAAATATGTTCTAACACATACGCAGATACATTCATGTTTGTCGAGGCATCAACTAATAACACCCTAGCCCTGCTAGAGGGTCAAGGCAATGCAACGATAGATACTCCAAGGTTTTCCATCGGCGGTGAAAAGACACTGATCTTCTATTATCATGCCTTTGGACAACAACTAGGGATACTCAAGGTTACTGCACAACCGTCCAACGCCCAAATCTTTATTTTTGATGGTAAATAATTTTCAATAATTGTAGATAATTGTACGGTTCTTATAAAACATAAGGCAATATAATAATCACATTGGTGTGTGTTTTAACCACATTATTGAATACCGAATAAGAAGCCACTGAGGAAAACTACATATAAACCAACGAAACTGATAAACTCATGAACAACCCATTAACATCCTTGACCATGTACTTGACCGTATAATGTATAGAATGTCACATATTGAGGGACATCCATGACGTGGAGAAAGAAGTAACAGTGTTATTGCTCAAATGATTGCTCACATTCTTTTACAGATTTAAAATACATAATTTACAAACATTTTGCATATAGTATTTGAGTAAAATACTCATACATCATAACTTACATTTAAATGTAATGTTTACAGAAATAATTATCCAATCGAACGAAGGTCTGATGCATATAGGGAATGCCCCCGTCCGTCTGTCTGGGTTAACTCGAATAACATTGGCCAGATTTTGTTCATATTTCGTACACATATGCCCTATGGGGGGTAGAAGTTCTGTTCGAAAGCCAATTTTCAAAAGGACCGCTCGTTTCAAAATGGCGGCCATTTTAGCGCCTATTTTACAGTATTTTAGGTGCAATATGTTAAACTGTAATAGCAATATGTTTTATACGTGAAAAATTATATAGGACATTAATAATGTAAGAAGCACATGGCAGCCATCTTGAGAAATGGCTATTTTACGATTTTTGCTGTAACTCGAAAAGTAGTGGAGCGATTTTGTTCATATCCGGTATGTGAATACTATAAGCATGGTACACTGTCTAATGACACTTTTTTACATTTTTTAAGATAACCGCGAAACCACTTTGGGGAGTGGTCGGCCATTTTGAAAAAATGGCCACCATTTACATGTATGCGTGTGCGATTTTGTTGAAATTTTATATGTGCCTACTTAGAAGCATATTACATTGTCTGATGACAATTAGACTAGTGAGTAACCATTTTGAAAATGTTTTATAGGAGTGTCACATATCGGATATTTTTTTGGTCGGGTCTGTCATTCCGTGTCAAGTCAGAAGAAATTTTTTTTTGACTTGCTGTTTAAGCCTGCATATTATAATTTAATAAAGGGAAATGATGGATACTAAGCATTTAATCATTCGGGAAGAACCGTAAACTATTTCCCTTTCGTAATTTATACGTAATCAAGAAATAGACAAGCCAAAAGTTTGCGGGAAACATAATAAATTTTACGATAACTTATGATATTCCCTAGTGTTTTGACATGACCCGAAATTGGTAAGTAGTTGTTTGTGACCCGATCCGATACCTTCCGACCCGAGAATTAATGACTTTTTGTTAGGGTATTATTTGAAAAGTTAGTGAGTGGTGTTATTTGATAAGTTAGTGAGTGGTGTTATTTGAAAAGTTAGTGAGTGGTGTTATTTGATAAGTTAGTGAGTGGTGTTATTTGAAAAGTTAGTGAGTGGTGTTATTTGATAAGTTAGTGAGTGGTGTTATTTGAAAAGTTAGTGAGTGGTGTTATTTGAAAAGTTAGTGAGTGGTGTTCGACAGTGAGTAACATAAGCAATAATCTAAAGATGCTATTCTTGATGTTAATTTGAGTGCATTTACCCTTATGTCTGCAACTTTTTATACACTAAGTCGCCCCCCCCCCCCCCCCTCTGCGATATTTTTTATTATTTGTCTGGTTTCATTATTGTTTGTATTGTCAATAACCTCTTCGAAAAGTTTTGTTTTTAAAAACTAGGTCAACATAGGTCAAATCGAGGTCAATGTGACCTAGGGGCTGTACATTTTTGAAATTTTGTGATAAATAGTCAGTTTTCTTTCACAATAATTTTTTTGTGCCAAAAGAAAGAGGCGCAAAAATTGCAAGAAGTACTCTTGAAAAAATCGAGAGGGGGGGGGACGGATTGAACCCAGTAGACATTAGGGTTAAAACCATCAAATGTTTGTCATAAAATTTGTATGAGATCTATATTCCACGTTTCTTGATTGTCCAGGCCGAACCGATGAAAGTAGGGACGAGTGGATGGAAGTCATTGAATTATTACCTAGAGGAACTAGCTCAGTGCGCTTTCAAGTAATCCTTAACGGGGTTTCGTACTCATCAGACTTTGCTATTGATGACGTCAAAGTGACTCTTGTGGAGTCGAATGGTGGAGGACACGAAGGTAAGAAAGACACACAAATAAAGCCTTTGACATAAAGGTAAGAAAGACACACAAATAAAACCTTTGACATAAAGAGCTCCATCTGAAGTTATCAAAATTGTATTACAAATCTTGAAAGACGGTGTTTTCTAACTTGGCATCTTGAACACAATTAACTTGGCCTAATGCAAAATGGATTGTCTCTTTTAGACTGTGTATGGTCTACATGGACACGCTGGACATATGGGTCATGCAGCACAACATGTGCAAATGCCATTGGAGTAAAGGTTGGAGTGAGAAAGATAAATCGATGTAAATATGGCAAAGCCATGGAAACAAAAACTGTTCCATGCAGAGGTTCAACACTTTTACCAGCCTGCACCTAGATACATACTACTAACAAACAGTTTTAAGTTCTAAATCGGAAAGACCTATTAAAAGACAGTGTATTGAGGACATCTATTTTGCCCCTTAAGTATAGATCATAAGCCGTGAGCAATTTATTTGCAAGGGAGGATCAATAACGGATCAAAAACACTTGGCAATTTTTGTAAGGGTCAAATGCTAAAATGTCATTGCATGATAGAGAAGTTGTGATTACCTGATACCATCTCCTTTGATTTTACAAATGTAGCCAACACATGAGAGTAAATGCTTTAGCTTTGACATTTTTTATCCCGGCGCAAAAATACTGATGTAACGCTTGGATAAACACACTTTCCAAATCATTTTATCCTAGCGTGATTGGGATAAAGTGTTTTGGAAAGTGCGTTTATCCCGCAACCACTGCTCCACTGGGATAAAGTGATTTTAGAAATGGAAAAATTTGCTCTTTATCCCGCCTCTTTATTTGACAAGTGCTGGGATTTGGATAAACAATTAGTTCCTTATTGAAATTCATATCGATTTACACATGACTTAGACAGGTGTGTAGATACGCTATACTGTATAAGTGGTATTTAATCCGAGTGTTTAATTTTCCGAATGGTCACATTTCATCATTTTCCTAATTTTAGTTTTCCTAATGACAAGAAACCTCCCACTGGATAACATTATAAAGACAGTATTTCCGACATTTAATTTTCCGAACCTGGCAAAAATTAAGAAATAGGCAAATTAAATGATTAGGCAAAATTACCACTTATACAGTAACTAATGTGCAGAACTCCCTCTCGCTTGAACATTAGAATAAAAACATTATTCTATAATTCCACAAATGTAAAGATATAATTATCAGAAGTCATATTTATTTATGATTGTGTTCGATACAAAACAAATGCAACGAGCATTACGTTTTTGCAAGTATAACTAAAAAAATACAAAAACACTCACCTGCGATTTTCAAAAAGTGTACCATCCTGGATTTCCACAAACTAAACTTGTCGTCTAACTAAGAAATTACCCTATATTAAAAGTGTAATAAATCTTTTGTTAGGTAGGTCGAATATGCAACTCAATGTTGCCGTTTTTCTTGTTTAACTTTTATGTATACTGTAAATAAAATGTTATCGCATCTATATAAAGAAATATTTATCATGTTATAGATACATCTTTTCCATATAAAGTGACAATGAGAACTAACATTTTAAAATGCACTTTCCTCTGAACTACTTAATAATATAATAACATTCTGTATTTGATTACCAAATAATTTTTATTTTTTCAACCAACTTGTTAAGAAAAAATCTGTTCATGTGTCATGTACGTCCAACTTGTTAAGAAAAAAATCTGTTCATGTGTCATGTACGTCCAAGTTGTTAAGAACAAAATCTGTTCATGTGTCATGTACGTCCAACTTGTTAAGAACAAAATCTGTTGATATGTACGCAATGGTGTAAATAATTGCCTGTTTATAGATCCATGTGATCGTTTAAATGTGTCATTACATTACATAACATGATTATTTAATATATTTGCAGTTTATGTGCTAATAAAACTCAATGCAAAGTCATCGCAATTGCTTTAGTTACATAGAACAGAATAACAGAAAAATAGAAATATCATAAATTATATTCCTTTCATTCTTGATAAAGGGTTTTGTAATATTTTGGTGAAAATGTTTATCATTTAATTATTTATGTCAAAAAAGGTTTAGCTAACAATAACATACGTATTATTTTGTTTAACCCTTTCAAAACGATAGGCTTCATAGGGAGTCCTATTATGTAATACCTTTCAGGATGATAGGCTCCTTTTGGCACCACAATTTTTATTTACATACGTCAATGAAATGACAATATCTCCAGTTCTATTCAGTATTTTTACACCAAATTTTGACAAGTAGTTGACATGTGATAATACTTATTAAAAATTGTATTTTAGTGATAATAGGTCCCGGGGTATACGTCATTTTCAGTTTTTACTTAGAAACTGCTCTTACTTATCCGTCAACATTTTTATGTTCACGTCGGGAAAGGAAAATTAAAGCTGCTCTGTAAATGAAGATTCATATTTGAGGCTATAGAAAAACCATGATAGGCATTTATTGGTGTAACGTAGCCTATGATGAGCATTTCTTGGTGTAACATAGCCTATGGGGGGAATTTATTGGTTTAACATAGTATAATATAATTAAAGATGGTTAATTACACGAAACAACAATTGATTTTATATTTATAATTTATTGTGAGAAGAAATGTGCTGACAATGCAATTGATCGATTTTCTGTAATTGGGTAACTTGACTTGACCATGCAATTTCGACCTGTCTCATTCCTAATGGACAGTCAAGTGTTTTGGGCTACCCAAGTATTCTTACTCTTGTTGACGGTTTCTGACTTGACCAAACTTAGAAACACTTGATACGTTGATTTCCAATTTATCACACAGTTTCATATTTTCTTCAAGAGATGACTGCTGAAAATTAACAAAAACAATTATGCTGTTATATGTATATCGTATGTGACTCCCTCTTGCAAAAAAACTTCCATTTATTATTACAGGGCACCAGCAGAATTCTGTGTAATACAACAACGTGCCACATTTTCAAGATATTTCTCGTTTCTCAATTTTATTGATTATTATGCTATAATGTTAGCTGTACCGAAGGAGTGAAAACGCTTATTGAAGCGAGACTTAACTTCTGTCTTTGAACCGAGCCTACAGACGGATCCTGTGCATTTAACACTTGACGGAAAACCAGTGTCATTGAATGGTTTAACAGTAAAGTCAATTCAAAAAATAACTAGAGATCTAACGATCTAAGATTGCAAGCAATCTTACGGAGGCCCTATATTCGTTTCTAAACATTCAAAGGCCAGCCAAAGGTCAAATCTCTAATACAAGGTCATATATGAACTCCAGACAACTTGTAGATGATTTTTAAAAAAGGTTTGGTCGAATTAATGCAAGTTGAAATTTGACCTTGAAAAATTCCGAAATTTGACCTTTTTTCAGTTTTTGAGCTATAATATCTCAAAACTGGAGCCAAATTTTAATAGATAATCAATTGCTAATATGTGTAGAACCTTTAGTAGAGGAATATATATTCTGACTTTCATTTAAAATATTGATTTGTAGTCTCCAATTTTGAGAAACTTAGAAAACACAGTTTGTGATTTCGTTTGATGACCTTGACCTCTGACCTTGCAAATTTTACTTTTTTAGACCTCAGAAGGTCTTTTGTGAATAAATATACCTAAATTTGAATCCAGAAAATCGATTTGAAAAATCAACTTTTTTGACCTGTCGGAGGTCACTGAAGGTCAACCAAAGGTAAAAGGTCAAAAGTAAGGTTAGATTTGGAATCCTGAGAACTTGTAGATGAGTTTCAAAAAAAAATTGGTCAATTTGAAGCAAGTTGAAATTTAGTCTTGAAAAGTTTCGAAATTTGACCTTTTTCAGTTTTTGAGTTCCAATATCTCAAAACTGGTACACAATTTTAATAAATAGTCAATTGCTAATATGTGTAGAACCTATAGAGGAATATATATCCTGACTTTCATGAAAAAATATTGATTTGTAGTCTCCAATTTTGAGAAACTTAGAAAACACAGTTTGTGATTTAGTTTGATGACCTTGACCTTTGACCTTGCAAATTTTACTTTTTTAGACCTCAGTGGGTCCTTTGTGATCAAATATACCTAAATTTGAATCCAGAAAATCAATTTGAAAAAACAACTTTTTTTACCTTTCGAAGGTCACCGAAGGTCAACCAAAGGTCAGAGGTCAAAAGTAAGGACATATTTGAGTTCCTGAGATCTTGTAGATGATTTTTAAAAAAAAATCTGGTTCATTTGAAGCAAGTTGAAAAATGACCGATTTTTGCTGATTTTTGACGTCAAATATCTCAAAAACAGTAAAAAATTAACGCGTACATATAGTGAGCAATTTGGAGAGAATGCTTATATCTAGTTACATTTTAATTCATCGCAAGAAATAATGAAGTATGAGGAGGAAATCTGAGAAACTTAGAAAACACAGTTTGTGATCTTGTTTGATGACCTTGACCTTTGACCTTAAAAATTTTACTTTTTTAGACCTCAATATATCTTTTCTGGTTGAATAAACTTTAATTTGAATCCAGAAAATCGATTTGAAAAATCAACTTTTTTGACCTTTCGAAGGTCACTGAAGGTCAAGTAAAGGTCATAGGTCAAAACTAAGGTCAGATTTGAGTTCCTGAGATCTTGTAGATGCATTTTAAAAAAAAGTTTGGTCAATTTAGAGCAAGTTGAAATTTGACCTTGAAAAATTTCGAAATTTGACCTTTTTTCAGTTTTTGAGTTCTAATATCTCAAAACTGGAGCAAAATTTTAATAAATTGTCAATTGCTAATATGTGTAGAACTTTTAGAGGAATACATATTCTGACTTTCAGTAAAAGAAATTGATTTGTAGTCTCCAATTTTGAGAAACTTAGAAAACACAGTTTGTGATTTCGTTTGATGACCTTTACCTTTGACCTTGCAAATTTTACTTTTTTAGACCTCAGAAGGTCTTTTGTGAATAAATATACCTAAATTTGAATCCAGAAAATCGATTTGAAAAATCAACTTTTTTGACCTTTCGGAGGTCACTGAAGGTCAACCAAAGGTCAAAGGTCAAAAGTAAGGTCAGATTTGGAATCCTGAGAACTTGTAGATGAGTTTTAAAAAAAAATTTGGTCAATTTGAAGCAAGTTGAAAAAAGACCTTTTTTGACCTTTTTTTGACCTTTAATATCTCAAAATCTAGGCAAAATTTCTCTAGACGGCAAAAGGCTGAGACTAATAGAATACTAATATCTATCTGTGTGCAAAAATTCAGCCAAAAATATTGAAGTGTAGTGTCAGGATTTGAGAAACTTGAAAAAAACTTAGATTTGACCTAGATTTTGACCTTTGACCTTGACCTAGATAAAAATTCCTTTCCCGCCAAGTTCAGCCCAGGTCCCTAGTATGACTATGTAGTAGCTAGTTGAAAGTTAGTCGGAAGTAGGAGAAAAAGAGGGAGGAAGAATAAATAATAACTAGACATGTAAATTGAACAAGTTCAATTTAAGACTCCAGATTTAAAACTTTTTTTAAGCTGAGTCATCCAAAATACTGTAAGCTGAGCCATTCAGAATAAGCTGAGTCATCCAGAATACAGACATTTAGACAACTCTTAAGTAGCTTATCTTCGTCTACATTGGCTTAACATGGGGATATCATAATATCGACTTTTCGAGACTTCAAACAGCTATAACTATCTAACCAGAATTTGGGTCGAAATTTGGTTTGCAGATTCGAATTTCTGAGAAAATTCTACGTTTGTGTCATTACTCATACATTAAATTTTGAGAACTTTTTATGTTGACCTACTTTCCGGACGCCATTCCTCAAAATCGGTAAGAGTAATCAAAAAAGACAGTTACAATAATGAAAGGACTGTCTTTAAGCTACATGCTGAAAAAAAGATAAAGGAATAATGCCGAATAGTGACAAAGATAATTGACATAACATGGGATATCAAAATACCAATTTTTTAATTTTTCAAAACGCCATTACTTCCAAACCAGGTGTCGGATTGAAATTTGATTTGCAGATTCGGATTCCTGAGAAAATTCTACCCTTAATTCATAACTCATACGTTAAATTTGGAGAAACTTTCATGTTGACCTACTTTTCGGACACTATATCTCAAAAGTGGGTCAAAATACTTTCTGACGGCAAAAGGCTAACACTATTAGCACACTCTTTGCTACCTGTATACAAAATTTTGAAGCAAATAATTGAAGTGTAGTGTCAGAATCGCAAAAATAAGTTAAAACTATAAATTTGACCTAGATTTTGACCCAGGCATTTTGGTGACCAAATTGTGAAGCTAGCTAGCTTTTGAGGTCCCTTTCTTTTATAGGCTTTCATTATGTGAAGCTGTACTCAGTCTTTATCTCGTATTTTACACTTCAAAGAAATCTTTTTTCCCATTGCCATAACATGGGGCACCAAATTTAGCGATTTTTGAGCTTTCAAAACGACAT